CAAATTAACAAGTTATTATCAAACAAAAGGCTCAGAAATCTGGACACTGGGGAACATGTACCAATGCCAAAATTAAAAGCACATTATCTCTCTATATACAGAATTGTCATCTCTCCCTAACAACACACACTGACAATATGGCTTCTGTGAGCCCAGTCTTTTATAATGAGGGGTGAGCTAATCCATTCCCTCAGAATATTGCATCTTGTGATGAAAATTATGAGTTGTTTCTTATTTCTGTGGCCAACCTGTGAGGTCTTTGGCCAAGTATATGCAATTTGTAAACCTCATAAACCACAGTGATTTGCTGTGAACCATGGTAGCTGTAAAGCGAGCTGTCCTGATCACATAGGAGAAAGGGCATATGACAGGGTGGGCTGGAAGGCAGGAGAATGGTTAAAAATGCATGGGGAATGGTTTAGGGATAGGTTGCAGCTGGATGCATCCAAGCCACAGGTCAAGCACCCTCCAGTTCCTTCACAGGTGGTGCCACAGCTGGCCATCTGTGCTGTGCCTTCAGGTGAGTCTCACAAACTTTCTACCTCCTTTCTTGCAGGATGGAATTGCTCCTGAATTTTGCACCAGTCAGCAAGCAGTGAAGTTCTAGGGAGTGAGTCCATTTACCTATTTTGGATGAATCAGGAGGACTGCCATGGGTTGAAAAGCTTGCTTAATTAGTGCTCATACCGGGGGGGGGGGGGGAATTTTTATTCACCTTGTGGGCAATTTTAGGCAGACTTGAGAAGAGTTCTTGTGAGGTAGTATAGGTACAGAGGCAGTCTTGATTACTTCACTATTGCAGGGTCCTGTTTTGAATTGCCCAAGCAGGAGGGAAGACATTGGAGTAAATACTGATGTGGTGCCACCCATCAGCCAAAGGAATTGTAAAGGCACCTACTGCAAGCAGCAAGGGTACTGTAGAAAAGCCAACCAGTGTTGATTCATCTGCTAATATCAGGTGCTGCAATGTGTAGCACATACAGTATGTGTTTTCAAAGGTCCTTTGGGGACAAATGTAAAGAAAGCGCTTTTTGAGCTTTTTGAACTTGGGAGGGGGCAACACCTGGTTCTACCATAATGAACAGTTTCTTCAGCAGATGTCTTTACATCCATCCCTTTGTTGGGATCATACAGACATTGCCTTATAGATACAATTAATGGCGGCTTCAGAAACTACTCATGGAGTAGCTGTTGGTAGCTTGACAGCTTCAAGGATTTTCCTCCCCTTTTATTATCATCAGCCTTACACAGAAAGGGTATTTGCTGGCACATCAATGAGGGAGCATGTAAGTGGGTGGCAAACTTCCATTTCAGGTGTGAATGTTCCACATGTGGGGGAGGCAATCACCTCCTTTCCCATTTCTTCAGGCACACACGGCTTGAAGTTGGCTTAGAAGTAGTGATGTGACTGGATGGAATCCAGTGAGCTTCACCACAATGCTACTCTGGTTAAATAGACATCATGATAGGGTAATGGCTGACCTCCTCTATCATATTTTTTTCTGAAGGATTTCTTATCCCAGATCAGTTGATGGGCAGGGGGAATGGTTGTTCTAATTTGCAGATGGCTTTGGAATGATGTTCTCAGAGATAAGTTGCAGAAGCCTCACTGGGCAGGTTAGCAGGCTCCTATTCCTGTTCCTCCTTGCAGTAATGTTAGGGTTTCTCCTTTAGTTATTGTGCCCAAGCAAAATCTGGGTAGGTTCTGAATGATTCATTTTTTGTCATATCATAAAGGCTCATCAGTAAATGATGTTATCTCTATGGCGTTCTCCGCTGTATGGTAAAAGTCTTTTGGGGCACTGATGAAAAAGGTGTACATAGAGTCCACTTTCTACCTTTTACTGGTGTATCCAGACAGCTTACACTTCTTGGGTTGCAAATTTGCAGGAGAATGTTTGCAAATCAGTGCATGCCCATGGGTTGTGCCAGTTCATGCACTTCCTTCTAGGATTTCAATCCTTTTTTAGAGTGGGTGGTGATGGGAAGTCTGGTTTAACAGGGGCTGGTGAACTATTTCGACAATTTCCAAGGCGTTGGACCCAGTGTATCAGATTCTTGATTCCACCTCCTACAAACACAGTGCTCTGTTTTTAAGCAGTTTGGTGTCCCCCCTTGCCCATAAAAAGTGCAGGGTCAAAAAGAGATTAAAACATTTCTTGGCATTGAAGTTGACTAGCAAAAAATGCAAACTGCCAGCTGAAAAACTTACATGCTTATCTGAAGAATTGAAAATAATATAGATAGCGCCACGGAACCATTGACCCAGTGTACAAATAGCTGCAGAACCTAGCCTATAAAAATAGGGTGTGTAAATAATAAAAAAGCAGGTTGCGCTAAACAAATAGACAATAAATAAATAAACAAATCAAAATAAAATTAAATAAAAAAATCCAAAAATATAGTGCAATCAAAAAATAATTCAATCAAAAATTAAATAAATCAATAAATTATAGTAAAGCCCAACCAAAAAAGTAAAAAAATAAATAATGCGTGATGAAATAAATGTTCAACCAAATATCACCAGAAGTGCATCCACCACCGAATAGATTGAATAAACTCACCAGAGCGTGATGCTGATCATGTTATAAATCAACATATAACGCTTTCTGCTCTGGGAGCAATGATCAGTAACTTGAGGCAGCAACACTAGGAATTTGATAACTGGTCTCCAGGGAGTAATACTCTGCAGAGATTGTGTACCATCTACTTCCATTTCAACATTCAACCACCGAATCCTTAGGACGATCAGACCTCCACTCAAAATACAAGGGAATAAAGACTCATGGTGCAGTACTTCATCAAAATGTCAATTTAATCAAACATATTGCACTTACAAGAAGCTGTGTCTAAGCCTACACCAGCATAAGCAGCATATGGAAAAACACAGACATGGACCCAGCCTGGCTGCGCATGCACCATACCAACGACTAGGGAATGTCCTGACGTCACATCCAAAGGCTCCGCCCTACGCGTTTCGTCGTCAACGTCCTCGCGGAGCGGATGGATGTGAGACGTCAAACCCTCATTAAATATTCACTGCACTTGACAGTCAGCAGCTGATCTCAATTGGGACATACGCCATAGGCATACTATCTCTGTAATCGATCGCCACCGATAAAATCAATAACATAAAACATATAGATGGCATGAATAACAAATACTGGGGAAAAATAAAAGAAAAAAAAACAGAAAAATAAAAATATATATAGAACCAACGAACACAAGGAAAGAAAACGAAAAGCAATCAAATCAAAAAATACTCATCACGGATATTTAAAGGGCCAGTACCAAATTAAAAAGGAACTCTAACAAGTATAAAATATATAAATATAATCAAATATAAAAAATATGTAAAATATATATTAAAAATTTGTGAGAAAGCAATTAAAATCAATATCCACATTCAACCCATTAGGTTTCAAAGAATTTAATTCATAGATCCAATATGTCTCTTTTTTTGGAAATCGCATTTATTAAATCGGTTCCTCTCCAATGTGGTTTACCCATATCTATACCATAAAAGGTTAGCAAACTAGGATCACAGTTGTGTTTTATTTTGAAATGTCTCGATACACTATGTTTGTCAAACCCCTTTTTAATATTACTAATATGTTCACCTATTCTAGTTTTCAAACATCTTCCTGTACGTCCCAAATACAGCAGATGACATGGACATTCCAAAACATAGATTACATGTGAAGAATTACACGTAATCAAAGAATTGATTTTATATTCTCTACTAGAACCTGAAGAATAAAAAACTTTTCTTTTCTTTCTGGATACATTTTTCACTGTTCTACAAGCTATGCACTTATTACAGTGAAAGAATCCTTTAAAATCAGGAAACAAATCTATCTTTTTAGGGGGATCAATAACATTGTGAGCAATTTTTGTTCTTAAAGGTCTGTTCTTCCTATAAACGAATCTTGGTCTATCAGGTATAATACCCTTCAGTACCTCATCTTTCAACAGGATCGGCCAATATTTTTTGAAAATGCGTTCAATATTCTTATATTGCATATTGTAATTGGTGATGAAACATATATTTTTGTCAAATTTATTAAATTTCCTATTATTGTCTAAGAGGGACTCTCTATCTTTCTTATTAATAAATTCCCTTTCTTTAATAAGGAAATTTCTATCATATCCTTTGTCCACGAATCTCTCGATTATTATATTACCGTATTTGCCGGCGTAAAAGGCGACTGGGCGTATAAGACGACCCCCTACTTTTCCTGTTAAAATATAGGGTTTGAGCTATACTCGCCGTATAAGACTACCCCTCTTCCAACACACACCAAATAAAAATGAAAAAACATCAGATTTGATTTCAATATGGTATGCTATTTCAGCATGGTATTCCAATGATGGGGTGCTATTCCTCCCACTGACACCAATGATGGGGCACGATTCCTCGCTCTGACACCAATGATGGGGCACGATTCCTCGCTCTGACACCAATGATGGGGCACTATTCCTCCCACTGATACCAATGATGAGGCACTACTCCTCCCACTGACACCAATGATGGGGCACTATTTCATCCACTGACACCAATGATGGGGCACTATTCCTCCCACTGATACCAATGATGGGACACTATTCCTCCCACTGACACCAATGATGGGACACTATTCCTCCCACTGACACCAATGATGGTGCCCCATCATTAGTGTTAGTGTGTGAGGAATAGTGTCCCATCATTAGTGTCAGTGGGAGGAATAGTGCCCCATCATTAGTCAGTGGGAGGAATAGTGCCCCATCATTGGTGTCAGTGGGAAAAATTGTGCCCCATCATTGGTGTCAGTGGGAGGAATAGTGTCCCATCATTAGTGTCAGTGGGAGGAATAGTGCTCCATCATTGGTGTCGGTGGGAGGAATAGCGCCCCATCATTGGTGTCAGTGGGAGGAATAGCGCCCCATCATTGGTATCAGGGGCAGGAATTGCGCCCCATCATTGGTGTCAGTGGGAGCAATAGCGCCCCATCATTGGTATCAGTGGAAGGAATAGTGCCCCATCGTTGGTATCAGTGGCGGGAAAAGTGCCCCATCATTGGTATCAGTGGGGAGAATCGTGCCCCATCATTGGTGTCAGTGGGGGTGAGGGAATAGTGCCCCATCGTTGGTGTCAGTGGGGAGGAGGAATAGTGCCCCATCGTTGGTGTCAGTGGGGGAGGAACAGTGCCTCATCGTTGGTGTCAGTGAGGAGGAGGAATAGTGCCTCATTTTTGGTGTCAGTGGGGGGAGGAATAATGCCTCATCGTTGGTGTGAGTGGGGGAGGAATAGTGCCCCATCATTGGTGTCATTGGGGAGGAGGAATAGTGCCCCATCGTTGGTGTCAGTGTGGGAGGAACAGTGCCTCATCGTTGGTGTCAGTAGGGGAGGAACAGTGCCCCATTGTTAGTGTCAGTGGGGGAGAGGAATAGTGCCAAGAGTGTCACAGCATGGTGCTGCTGCACACACTTACTGGCCGCTCCCTCACTCGATTTTTGCGGGGCCGCTCAGCTCCGCCTCCTCGCTGGTGATTGGTCCCTGTGTGCCTTTCCAGTGCTGGCGCCCAATCACCGGTGAGGAGGTGGAGCCAAGCAGCCGCGCGACCATCGAGCGGCCGAAATGAAAGAAGGAGCAGCCGCGCTTCCTGGACCGGATCGTCGTGGGCCCGGGATTGGAGCCAGGTAAGGTACAGCAGCCCCCTGCCCACTCCTGTACTTAGTGTCCCTTCCGCCACCCCAGCGCCGCCCCTCGAAAAAGTGCCGCCCTGACACCGGCTCGCCGTATATCGGCGTATAAGACAAACCCCGACTTTTTAGAAGATTTTCATGGGTTAAAAAGTCGTCTTATACACCGGCAAATACGGTACATTGATCTATATAGTCTTTGTTCTCACTACAGTTCCTTTTTACCCTAGTAAATTGGCTTCTAGGCATATTAAAGAGCCACCTAGGATGGTCTCCACTAGAAATGGGTATGTAGCTGTTTTTATCCACCTCCTTGAAAAAGGTTTTAGTCAAAATACTACCCTCATTTTTATATACTATAAGGTCCAAAAAACTAATTTGGCACAAATCACTTGTAACAGTGAATTTCAAACCTTAATTCTTTTTATTGATACCTCCCATAAATCTTTCTAGTTGTTCTTGAGTACCATTCCATATTATAATGATGTCATCAATGTACCTCTTATATAGCGCCATCTCTGGCCATTTATCATGGATACATTCTTCTTGCCATTTGTACATCACCAAATTAGCTACATGGGGGGCATACTTAGCACCCATAGCAACGCCTTTACACTGTTGAAAAAACGTGTTTTTAAACCAAAAAAAAATATTATTCATGGCCAATTCTAATAAATCGATGATCAATCTTCTTTGCACTTTTTTCAAATTAGACTTATGTTTTAAGGCCCATCTTACAGCATTAACTGCATCTTTCTGATTGATATTGGTGTATAAAGATTCTACATCAATAGTCACCACCATACAATCATCCATATGATCAAGCCTCCTTAAAATATTAATAAGTTCCCCACTATCTTTCAAAAAAGATCTATTCTTCATGACTATGTCCTGGAGAAAGGAGTCAATATATATTCACCGACTCTAGCAAAAAGGGAATTAATCCCACTAATTATGGGCCTACTAGGTGGTTTATCTTTATTTTTGTGTACTTTCGGTAAATAATAGATGGTCGGTATTTTAGGATTTTTCATCAAAAGGTACTTAGCTTCTTTCTCGTTCGAAAGCCCTAAGTCCTTACCTTTTTTAATAATGGATTTCAATCGTAATTTAAGTTTCTTTGTAGGATTCCCTCTTAATCGAATATACAGTATGTGTCTTTAATATTTAATAACCTATCCATTTCAGCTTCATAATCCTCCTTATTGAGGACGACAATGCTGCCTCCCTTATCTGCCCCTCTAAGTACTATATTCTTTTTCTTTTCAAGGTCCTCAATACCTAATAAAATATCTTTTGGGGTATGGTGAAAGCCCTTTAAATCCATGTTTTTTAAATCGTTCTCTACCATATTCTTAAACACCTTCAAAAATGCATTACCCGAATTATTAGGGTTAAATGTGGAATCATTTTTCAACCCACTATGTATAAATCCATTTGTAGATGTACTGGGTTTATTCCCTTTGTGTTTATTGAGCTCAAAAACATTTTTTTTTTTCAAAAATTTTCTTTTTTTTTTGTCTGAAGAATTGGTTATAGTCTTGCAAGCCAAAAAGGTGACTTTAGGATCTCTTCAGCAATTGTTAGTAAACTTGAAATTTGCCTGCAGAATTATGCCTATGGTCAGAATGTTATGCAGGTGGCTGGCCTTTTTGACGTCAGGAGTCACCAGGTTATATTTATTACTAGGGAAGCCTGGGAGGCCCTCAAAGTTTGCTACTGTTCCTTGCTATGTACAATGGTAGGCCCATATGGCAATCTTCAGCCCAGTCAAACTCTGATATGCAACTTTTCACAGGTGTATCTGGGGGCATGGGTTTTGGGAATACTTTCAAGGGCAGTAGTGCCATGGTTGCTGGCTTGTGGAGTGGACTGCAAGGGTTCTTACCAAGAATTTGGCATTTCAGGAATTCTTTCCTTTCATGGTAGCTGTTGTAGTCTGGGGTCCCCTGTTGTCTAACAATGTTTATTTTTATTCTGACAAAATGGCTGTAGTTTCAGCTGTGAATAGGCTTACAAAACAATCTTCTCCAGTAGTAGATTTAATTAATGTTTGTGTTACATTGTGTACATAACAATATTCAGTTTCGGGCTGTGCATGTGCCTGGAGATGAACATGGAACTGATGATGCTCTGTCTTGGTTTCAGTTGGAGCATTTTCGGGAGCTGGCTCCAGAGGCAGAGTTAATGCAACTTCGGGTTTTGGAGTTTCTCTGGAGAACTGCTCCAGACAATTAGCAGGTTGGGTAAAGAACGTGTTCGAAAAACTGACTGGAAACTCATATTTTAGGGCATGGCAGAGATAGTGGAAGTTTGCTGCTCTGATTTTTTGTGGACCTATGTAATTCTGGGGTTTCATCATCTAGGGTGGATAGAGATTTTGCAGCACCTTCCTTTCTGTTCAAATTGTGAGGCGTGACTGACATCACTAAGGAAGTCCTGGTGCAGGAAATGGTTGAAGGTTTCAGAAAGGGCAAGTACTCAGTGAACAAAAGGAGACCTGTAATCTTTCACTTCCTGGAAGGTTTGTTATGTTAATTAAATGCTGTGTGTCAAGATGACTATGACAGATGTCTTTTCCAATTGGCCTATGCTGTGGCCTTATGGAGCTTTAAGAATTAGTGGATTGGTCAGATGAATGGAGGGCTTGTTGCTCCCAAATGTCATGGCTGTAGATGACATATTGCTCCCTCCTTTTTATTCTAAAATTGATCCACGTGGAAGGGGTTTTTGGATACAATTGCATAGGTATCATTCATGCATTACCTGCTTAGTACATTGTTTTGCTTGCTTAATGGAAGTTTATCTGACATTGTGAGAGTCGTTATTGCTTCATAGAGTTGAGTCACTTTTGTCCCGTTACCAAGTTGTGGCAGTGTTTAAACAATGCTTGGGGAGGATGGGCTGTGTAGTAGCAGACTATGGTTCTCACACTTTCTTGATTGGAGTGGGTACAAAAGCAGTGGGGTCAGGGCCAGGCTAAGAGAGGACTCATTCAGGAATATTGGGTAATGGGAATCCACCAGGTTCCTGTCTTATGTCTGTTCTCATTTGGTGAAAGTAAACACACATTCATAAAGAGGAGATTGAAGTACATGATGGTGGTTTTGTTCCCATGCACAGATTAATTGGAAACCCTTATTTTTTCCTTTTGTATGTTTGTTTTCCAGACATTGTAGCATTCTGATCAGAAATATTTCCAAGGTAAGTGTCAACCAGTTATTGATTGAGCTACTTTGAATAAATCCTGAATCAAAATAATATAGCAGTATCAATACAGTATGTATCCAAGGTGGTATTGCAGTTCATCACTGTGTCTTGGAAATCGCTTCAGTCAATTATCATAACTGTGTGTTCATTTAATGAAATAGGCCTCAAGGTCTTCAATTTCATGCTTTAGGAGGACCTGGAACAAGCCCCGCAATTGTGGTAGGGCATTCAGAATTGAGCAGCCAATTTCTGAATGCTGTGGCGGGTCCTTGATGGTGCCAAAAAAGTAAGATGGTTGGTAATGTTTGGACAAGTAGTTTAACCTTAATGCTCACCAATATATATGATTATGTGGTGTGCATGAAGGAAGTACTTACTAAGGTTTATCCAAGGTGAATAATGGTCAGAAAATTACTGGTATATACCCTCCAAGCTGGCTGTAGATGGCTAGTGGCTGGTACTGGTTTACAAAAGAACTGGATATTCAAGGTGAATAATGGTGTAAAAATTATTGGTGTGTACCCACCAAGCTGTACCCACCAAGCTGGTTGTAGATGCTTGGTGGCAGGTATGGGTTTACAACAGGATGTATTAAAAAAAATTAATATGGAGTTACTTGTGAGCCACAGGAGTATTAATTGTAATTATTAGAAATGTTCGCAGGCTCCCATACACATCCTCATATACATATGTGATTTGGTAACTACAAATTAATAAATAGGTGCCGCGCCCTGTATTTAGGTGGATGTCTGTTTGATATAATGGCTATATATGATGGTATAATTGTGGGTATTATACCCTAATGTGTAGTCAGCACAGTTGTAAGGATTTTGTACACAATATCAATTCAGCTGTATACAGAACATATATAAATGTGAATGTGGATTAAAACATCATTATAATATAAATCATAATATAAATCATAATAATAAACTAAAAAATAAGTGTCCAAAGTGAATTTTTTTTTTTTGTGTCCAAAATAATGAAAAAATTCCAAATAAGTAATTGCTTGCTGTTGAAAAAGCTGTATTTATTATTATTATTATTATTATATTATTATTAATAGTATTATTATATAGTGTGTTTATATAGCATCAATAGGTTTGCTCAGCGCTGTACAATAAAGTGGGGGGACAGTACATGAGACAATACAGTAACAATACAATACACGAGGGGTTCGAGGGCCCTGCTCTTTCGAGCTTACAATCTAGGAGGGAGGGGGTAGAGGTACAGGAGGAAGTGGCTGTGGGGGATGGAGTGGTAGGAGGAGTAGAGGAGAACGGCTGTTAGGTGAGGGTGGGGTAGGCTTCCCTGAAGAGGTGGGTTTTCAGGGAGCGCCTGAAGGTGAGGAGGGTAGGTGACAGTCTGATGGATTGGGGTAGGGAGTTCCAGAGGATGGGGGAAGTCTTGGAGAAGTCCTGAAGTCAGATGTGGGAGGAGGAGAC